TGTGGTGCGGTGATGCCCATGAATCAGTAAGAAGGTGGACCTGACGTCTTTAACGTGCGTGTGGAAGCATTACCCCCCGGTCAGACAAGCTGCTGTTGCTGCTGCTGTGTGTGTGTGTGTGTGTGTGTGTGTGTGTGTGTGTGTGTGTGTGTGTGTGTGAGAGCGCGTCGAAAGTGGAATTTCAAAGGAATGAGACTGGGTGCCGTGCTGTGTGTGCGGTGTTGAACTGGGAGCTAGTTCAGGACTCTGTACATTGTAAAAGGATTAAAGGCATTTAAGTAATATTTTTAAACGTGTATTTTTAAAACTCCTTATTGGAGCATGGGTGTATTTTATTAAGTTGGCGATCTTAACTGAACATCAGAGAAATTAAAGCAATTGTTGAGTTTTCCAAGCTGTAAAACTTAAATTCGTATAGTTATCCGTCAAACTGTAAAACTTTCTTGTAAAAATAATAATAATGCAGTTTATGCTTTTGTGTTAGATGCACAGACGAACCAAGTAAGTTTTCACTTCGGACCCACAGAAAGAAAAGGGATAACAAGTTGAATCCGGCAGCATTATATTGGTACAGTCAACACGGTTACGCAATGTTTCCATTGTAGTTCCGATGATTCCTTACCTTATTTCTATTTTTTTCTTGTTCCGATCCTTCTGCCCGCACCCCCGCTGCGGGCCCGCCTCCGCTGGGGGGGCCGTCCCATCACACCATAACACTTTCCAGAGACACGACTTTCGTCGTTATTGACAATTTCCACATCCCAAACTTCCATCATTTTCTCGCGCTTAGGAGTCATCATCGTCGCCGGCGCCGGCTTCCTCTCCTCCTCTCTGCCGTTTGAGGTCGTAGCGACCTGCTGCTGCTGCTGCTGCTGCTGCTGCTGCTGCTGCTTCTGTTGCCGGTGCCACCCCGTGTGCCGTGCGCGAGTTGTTTACAACGGAACGAAAAATCATTCATCGCGGCTACGACAGGATGACGAGTAAAAAGGAATTAAAAAAAAGTTTAGAGAAGATCCTTTCGAGATCCCCCTCCTCTCCCCTTCTCTCCTCCCCCCCTCCCCCCCCTCTCTCTCTCTCTCTCTCTCTCTCTCTCTCTCTGGTGTTGCACCGTTACCCGGCCTGCGCGGCATTGCGTTTGTCACGTCGCGCAATTAGCCGGCTGGCGTTGGCTCCCTGATAAAAAAAAAATAGAAGAAGAGAAGCAGCAGCTCTAGGCGCTGCCGCCGCCGCTGCCGGTGATCGTCCTGCCGGCCTCGCGAGGTGTTGCCGAAGGGGACGGATGGATCCTGTATTATCTCTTTCCGGGAGCGATCGTAAAAGAGTGAGACATTATTTTTATGGTGTATCGCAGACCGCGCGCAGAAATAAGAACGAGGCAAAAACATTGATTAGAACATTTTTCTCTTAGTTCTCTCTCTCTCTATCTTTGGTCGCGATTTTTGTGACGGTCAAAGCAATGGAGACTGCGAATTGTGTGTATGTTGGCATGCTGTAGAAAGGGTTCAAGGCGTGTGTGTGTGTGTGTGTATTCGCAACCTCTTCTTTTCCTCGCGGATCTTTTTTGCCTCCAACGTCTACCTGGAATAAGGGCGTACTGGAACAGACACTGCTGCTGCAGCCGGAACATCAACAACGCCCCGCCCTACCTCGCCCCGCCATGCCACGCCCCGGCGCGTGTTATTTTTCTTCCCGGTACGGCCTGGGTACCTTACGGCCGTTCAGGATAGGAAACCGCAAGGAGTGACGTACGGGCGTGGCAGCGGGGCGGGGCGGGGCGGGGCGGGCGGCGGAGCAATAGAGACATCGCCGGGGATGAGCAGTACGCCCGGCAGGGACCGACAGACATGCACCACGTCTGAGGGAGGTGGGGCGGGGCGGGGCGTGCTGTCCTATCCGGGTCAAGGAGGCAGAAAGAACCAACAGTGGCGCCAGCCCGAAAGCAGAGCAGCAGCTTCATATGCCACAGCCCTCTTTCTTCCGCTCATTGCGGGTCCCTTCAACCAGTTTGTGGGGGGGGGGGGGCAGTAGAAGTCATGTCTCGTGCGCGCCGCTCGAGTCCTCCTGTCTCTTCCAGGAAGCCCATACCCTGAATGATTTCACATCCGGCGACAAAGGCGCGCGGTTGACCTGTCGCGAGAGACGCGTGTTCAGGCGCGAAATTGTTGGCTACCCTGGAAACCATTCGTATGCTCTCAGTATCATACTTTTAAACTCAAGAATCACTGGTTCTTGGCACTTGCACGACACACGTCATGAGTCTGCTCCAGAGTAATAACCGCTGACATGCAAGACTTAACAAACACAAGTGTTCATATCTTCTTGTCTTATTTTTACTTTTTCTTTCTCACGAAAAGCCAATAATGAAAGCCCAACTAAAGTCGCCAAGCCCTAGTGGCCCACATACCCGACGGACGCGTGGTGGTCGGCACAGTGCGGCACGCGGACGGCATACGGTTGGCCCGCACCGTTACTGAACAAGGGCATTCACACCGGGCGGGTACCTGTACTCATGAGCACACTACGGCTCTTCAACTTCTTATTTAGTTTTTCGTATGATGGTGTCAAAAGGGAGGAAAATGTGTTTGCTCGCACGGTAAAAACAATGATTCGGTTTTGGAGGAAAGGGGAAAACTTTGGGGAACTTCTTTAGTTTGAGACAAACTCCTAAGATTTTGCGGACATCTTACCCTTACGCCTTTAAATTATGAGACATTTTCAAAGTTTTCCCTTCTCCCTCAAAACGTGAGATATTGTATTTACAGTAGCGGGCTTGTGAAAAAAAATGTACGCAAACATTTTTTAGAACGCTCGGAGCTCCCAAACCGACCAGACCAACAAAGTAAAACTCAGTGAAACTCGCTCGAAAACCTTTAATTTGAAATGCCTCGGTGGTATGCGCTCCCATTCGAGCGGGTCGTAGAGGTCGAACTGTGCGTGCTTTGCTCCCTTCTCGGCTGCTGGAATAATTGTGGATTCGTGGCTCTGCGCGCCGCTCTTCGCAGTTGTCTTAATCTCATCGGCATCGCCCTGCCGGCCCAAGGGTAACGACCCCCCGAGAGAGGCTGCACAGCATCTGCCCTGGACCTTTTATCTCTGCACCGCATGGCGCTCCGTCTGTCCTTGTCTAGCTCGCGCGGCGGGCCGCGGGCGCTCGAGTCCGCGAAAGAGATGGGGTGGATACACTCTGTAAAGTGAAAAAAAAAAACACGAAAAAACAACGTAAGCGGGATTATGCGGCAAAAGGTTCCATGAGTAGGGGCTGAAATCTGATTCACAATTTCTCTTGTAAAACAAAATTAGAAAATAAGACATAAATTAACGAAGACATTTTCCACAGTGTAGACGGGTGCCACTACTCAGCACCGCTGAGGTTCAGTGAAGCCCGGCCGCTCGGGCTGCTGAGCTGCCGAGTCGACCCTAAGATGGAAGGTTTGCGTTTGGCGGGGGAAAAACCGCTACACTCATTTTCGGGCGCGAGGAACAAATTGAATTATTCTTTTGTCGGAGATCTCCTACGCGATCGCTGGCCGCTTAATAGCCTTTGCGCTTTGGCTGCTGCGATCGTTCCCTGTCCCAGGCCCGGTGACTCGTCGTTACATTGTCCCTAACTGGGAAACTGAAGACTTTTTTTCTCTCTGTGCCTCTTCCATTTTCCTGCTCTTCTTTTTTTTACGTAGAGTTTTTCGCATCAGCGTTTCTAACTGTTGCGTTTCGTCTGTTTCAGGTGAGTTGGCGGGATCCTAGACTGACTGCGGTGCGGCGTACGCTCAGGTTGTTGTAACGCAAGTACCCAGAGTTGTCTGCCGTGCGGGTCACACCTCGTCCTGCACAACGCCCACAAAAATGAGTTCTCGGTTCAACACAACAATGCACTCAATCGAATGAAGAGTATTTATTTTTGCGCTTGAACCAAGAACCTAGTTTCTTGGTGAATTTTATGATTTTATCGACATACATGCATTTGGTTGAACCGTTGAACCTACTCACACACGGCTGTACCACACTAAAAATTATGCATGCCGAAATTCTGGTATCAAACGACCCCAAAACCTGCACTCACAAAAATGTTTTCTTGCCCCAATCCCAAAAATATTCTTGACTCAATTTTACTTGGGACGAGAATAATTTTCTCGAGTGAAGACGATTTTTCTCGTTCGAAGAAGCATGGTTTTCTTCCCACAAGAAGAAAATATTCTTGATACATTCTGCTCAGCCCAAGAAAATAATATGCTTGTGCTTGTGCTAGGCCGGGCGGGCGTGGGTGGAGGGGGGACGGACGGATTAGGGTGGAGCGCGCGAGAGGACCGGGCTACCTGAGGTACAAAGGCAGCGCTGGGGACACGGTCACGCATGTGGATTCATAGCTCAAACGGTTACTGCTTACGCTTCAGCGCCGACTCGACACGAGCAGGGTTCGAATCCCCGCAGTGCCAATTGAAGGCGTGAGTTGCATTAAGGAGAATCGAACCAGCTGTCACTACCGTCATAACCCACTGTGAGACAGAGTTCAAGACTGTCTCCGGGGGCACTATTTCACTTATTACAGCCAAGACTAAATATTCTTGGGATAAGAAAATAATTCTTGAAG